CGCGCACCCCCCCCCACCCCCGCCCCCACCCGCGCCCGCGCCCACACCCGCCCCCACACCCCCACCCCCACCCACACCCACACCCACACCCACACCCACACCCACACCCACACCCACACCCACACGATCAGAGACGAGTGATTAATTTGTGAAAATATAGGTAATAGAGCCTCTTTGACAAATGGTCCGTTTGTTCAAGGTATCCGAAACGAGAAGATTAATTTGTTTGAATGGATTGATGAAGAAGATCTCGGCATGGTTTTCCTCAATCTATAATCAACATTTTCTGAAGAATCTGCTTACGTCAAATCGTTTATCATTTTTAATAGTCGAAATCTCCATTTCAATGTAAATTGATTCTGGATTCGTTATTGTCTCTGATGGTGTACGTAAGAGTGAAGACACTCACGCTTGTGTTTCAAAGAAAAAGCTTGATAAAAATGAGTCATTATTGATATGAGAATAAGTTTGTTATTTTTCGTTCTTTCGAAGCATTGCATCATGATTCTTGTGCAAGTCATCTTATTATAGAGCCTATGTTGTTTTCATCATTTTGTGTATAGATAATAATCAACGAAGCTTATTCGAAGTAAAAGATCTTTTAATTTCATCATGAGTCAATATGGTTCTACGTCAATATCGTCATCGATACAGAAAACTAAATCGAATCCAGCATTACTTATTGATTATCAAATAGAATCTCCTCGTTTTTCTGCTCATAATGCACAACAAATACAAGAAGGTATCGAACATTTAAACGACAATGGTTATGCAGTATTTTCTCATGTGCTTTCATCTGATGAGATTCCCTCTAATATCGATTTATTGTGGAAACATTTGGAAAATTTGTCAGCACCATATCAAATTAAACGAGATGATGCACGAACATGGGACATTGCATGGCCTGGTCTGACTTATATTGGATTAATGCCAGATGAAGGTTTCGGCCAGTCACAGTTTGCATGGTCTATACGAGGAAATCCAAATGTGAAAAAGATTTTTGCTCAACTTTGGCAAACGAATGAGTTACTTGTTTCATTCGATGCTGTTGGTTGCTTTCGTGATTGGCATTGGAATTCAACATGGAAGACAATAAGTGGATGGTATCATTGTGATCAGGTTAGTTCTTTCTTCTTTTATCTAATTTTATCTTTTGTTTTTTTAATAGAATCCAATTGAAAAGCCTCATCGATGTTCGATTCAAGGTTTCGTATCTTTAACGGATAATAATGAATTCACTGGTGGTCTTGTTGTCGTACCTCAATCACATAAACATTTTGAGCAACTTCAATCCATCACTCGAGGCGGCAAGCAAAGAGCTAATTTCTGTCGTGTACGTAGAAATCATCCTTTGCTCAAACAATTCAAACCACGTCTAGTCAAATGCAAAGCTGGTGATCTTGTCGTCTTTGATTCTCGATGTATTCACTGCAATACACCAGCTCTCGATACTGAAGAAATGACAAAATTCAATGAAGACAAAACTCCTCAACTGTTACGCATTGTCGCTTATGTATGCATGAGTCCAACAGGAATGGTTTCTGATGATAAACTCGAAGAATTTCGCAAGACTAGAGAAGAATTTGTCAAAGATAGAATAGCATGTACACATTGGCCTTGTGAACTCAATATTTCCGGTAAGTAAAACTTCAACAAATGAAAAAAAATATCCATTGATTTTGTCTAGGTGGATCACCATCTGGTGTCAAACAGCCACTCAGACTTTCGATGTATCAACGATCTCTCATTATAGGCACTAATGTCGATCCAGACAGTGAAATAGCACAAGAAGTTATCGATGTTTAATTTCGAATTTCATCGTCTCGCTATGTACTTACAAACCAGAATATTGACAATAATTTGATAATTCTCGTCGTTGTGATGTGAATAAGAAATTTAAAATAAAATCAAAGACATGTACAAAGAGATCCTTGATCAAAAATAATATCATATTTTTTTTTAAAGAAGCATCTGTAAAGAACTTCGCCTATTTTGATGACAACTATTTTATGCATTAATGAGGGTGTGGGTGTGCATGTGTAGGTGAGGAGAAGAGCAACAGTCGCACCCACACCCACACCCAAATCAAATCTGCATACATCATAAAAAGCACTAGAGAAAATATTTGGTAAAAAGATAAGAATACAGAATGAGAAGAAAAAAAAGCAAGCATTTTCTCTTTCCGATCCCAAACGGCAACAACATGACTAATGTCGATGAATACACATATGAAGTAATCAATAATGAAAATGATGCACGTCTGTGTGCTCGACTCATAGCCGAAGAATTCACTTCAAGGAATCTTTTAACTATATTCGATAAAATATCACCGGAACAATTTTTTGAACTAATATCATGGCCATGGATGGCAGAGGCACTCGATCAACGACTATCGTTTCTTGCACGACATCGTTCTTCGGCCAGCAGTCATACCAATCG